AATGATGTGATCAAGGCATTCATACGATACAAGTGATATATGGGAGAATTTTATGTATTCTTCTTTTTCTTCACTGCGATGAACAATGGAGCGACGAACCTGGATTGCCAATGGTCTCTGTTCTTTGTAACAGGGGAGGAGAAGAGAATGAGAACGAGAATCAGGTAAAACAAATGGAGAGATAGATGGAAAGGGAAGGAAGAGCAGCGACACTGTTCTTACCGTCGCTGCTGCTGGCGAAGCAAAGTAGATGTACCCCTTCAAAAACAAAAGCAATAGATTTTTTCAGAGAAAAAGTTCTCTCTTAACTTATGTGTGCCTCTCTCAAATATTAATAAAATTGATTGATCCCCAACCCTCTTTTCCTTCTTCACGCCATTAAAACTCCACCTTAAACTCCATTATAACCTTTTTATTTATATTTTTCTCTTTTTCTCTTCTTTTATAATTCTAATATTTTCTAAAAAAAAATTAAGATGACCTTTTTATTAATAATTTACTGCTTTTTAAATTTTTTTCATCATTTTCATTTATTGGTTAACCATTTAATAACGTTTTGTATTTATTTTATGGTGTTTAATTATTTTGTTATTTATTGGCAAAGAATTTTTTTATATTTTACACTTTTTAAATAATAAAGGCAAATTTTATATCTTACATTATTCTTTATTAGTATTATTGTATTATTAATATTATTTTATTTTATACTTATTTTATATTATTTTTAATAATATTATTTATTAAAAATTTTATTATTTTTATAACTTTAATCTTTTTATTACTCTTTCAATGTGTATTTTAATTATTTTCATTTATTTATTACTTAAATAACAACTTTGAAGAGTAAATTTGTAAAATACACAGTTTTTAGACATTACAATATTCAGATTACCAAATAACTCCATTGCATTCAGATGCTTGCAAAAGTCGAAAAGAAAAATTTTCACCGAATACTTTCAACGCTTTTTCAGAGGTGTTTTTGCTTTTCAGACTTCAGATTTACCGAAAGCCCTCCTAAATAAATTTGCTTAAAAAGTACGAAGAACATAGAGTTCTGCCATTAAAACAGACCATAGAACCTCTATTAAAAGAGTTGGGATCTCTTACCAACAAAACACATTTTAACTCCCTACCAACAATACGAAACACCACACATCTCACCATGAGATTAGGACCCATCGTATATGAGATGTGTGGTGTCGGATCATGTTGGTAGGGTGTTGTAACTTATTTCGTTGGCAGGTATTCCGGAATCCTATTCTAAACACCACGTTCATTTCACACAAATCTTTAATGCCTACACCACCTTCCTCAATAGGATGACATATAATCAATCTACTCAACAAAAAACAGAAAACCCTCTTAATAATGGGCAGGATTTGGCTGCTATTGAAACGGCATTTCCGTGGACTAATTGGTAATGGCCTCAATAGTCAATACACAAGCATTTTGAAGTATATTAATCATTGACTTTCTATCTTGCATTTCTCTGAGGTTCCAATCCTTCTCACAGTTGTTTTAACAAGTTAATATCCGCCCCACAGCACATCTCCGCTGTGTATCGAGAGCATCTCCTGATGATAGTACCAATTTCGACGATATCATCATTGGGAGATATTTCCAATATACGACTGGGATATACTGTAGCGCGTTGTGGGGCGGAGACGTGATCTCTGTTATAACTTACCCTTTCACAGAAGTTACCGGATGACATTTATCCAATCTAAATAATAACCACACTGTTAATGCCCATTATAAGAATACAATTCGTGCCTCAGCCACCCAAAATAGATAAATAAATAAATAACTAGTAGATGATGAAATATTCTCAAAAACCTAACATGATTTTTTTAAGGGTCAATGATGAATATGGTACAATCTCATCATTTGGTGGTATTTGGCATCGATGCCGTTGTTCCATAAAACGGTGACACATCAGCACCACATTGGAAAAATTAATATTTCAAGAATGTCAATATGTTTAGAATCGTTTTTTCGTAAAAAACGGTGCTCTAAGCTACGTCTTAAAAATCGAGAAGGCATGGTTTGGAGAAATGTCAAATTTGATGTTTTCTTAGATTGGAGCTCATTGTTGCCAATGAGGACATGATGTAGTAGTGACATGGACTTCCTATAATGGGTACCTGTGCTAAAAACATATATGGAGCATTGGTACTAGGGGTGTCCAGGGTTTGGTCAACCGAACCGGTGGTACCGGTTTTTTCATTTCGCCAAACCAAAACCGAATTGATACCACCGGTTAACCGGTCCGTCGGTTTCAGTTTTTGATTAGTTCGGTTTTTCGGTTTTTTATATTTATAATAGATATTATATAAATATACGTATAATATTATATTATAAATAATAAATTATATGTAATATATTATAAATATTTTAAAAATATATAATATATTTATAAATATAATATAAGTATATATTTATATATAATGAATATATATTTATATATAATACATAGAAAATATGTGGCATATATTAAAAATATATACAAAATATACATATAAATATATATACCGGTCGGTTCGGTTAACCGTCGGTTTTTTTGTAGGTTAACTGAAAACCAAACCGGTCCTTCGATTTTCAAAAATTCCGAACCAAAACCAAACCAATCGATTCAATTAACCGCATTTTTTGGTTCGGTTTTTCAGTTTTTCATGGACACCCCTAATTGGTACCAAACAGAAGGTGGTGGTGTTGCTCCAAGAAATGTCCTACCTGACAGCAACGTTTTCAAAAAAAAAAAGACTGTTTTCTCAGAAAACGATGCTTTCATTCCACACATATATCTGTAGCATCAATGCCAAACATATACATTAGAAACAAGAAAATCATGGAACTTCTATGTTTTCTAGCCCATTGCAAATCTACTAGATTTTTTTTCTTCGTAATAATAATACAACTCATTTAACAATTACATAGCATCATATTTGGTATATCAAGCGTTGGTTGATATAATCATACAAAACCGGTTATTATATTATAAATATAAATATATACAGTACACATACATATAAAATACAAGGTTTTACACTCTACATACTTGTATTTGCATTCTTCCCAAATTAAGCCCAAGTGTAGAAGACTTAGATACCCTGAATTTTCATAAATTAACTTAAATATACCCCGACTTTTTCAATTAAACTTATATATGTCTTCCTACCATTAATTTATAAGATTTGAAATGGGGTTGTCTTCTACCTTGTCTTCTACCTAGGGGAGACTTTGAACTTACAAGAACTTGGAAAAACCTCTTGGAGTTCTTTTGGCATTCAAATCATAGAATTCTCTTGTATCAATGGTTGTCGTAAGGTTCTGCACTTATTTCCTGAACAGCTAAATGTTATTGGAGTTGCATTTGCAGAGCTCTTTCTTTTCGTTCAAGGTAGAAGAAAACCCTAAGCGATTACTTAATTTGAATCCCAATTCTCATCTCTGGCTAGTTGCCACCCTCCAAATTCCAAGAATTTTCATTAAGACGTGAAATGGGCTTCCAAGAGATTTCGCCAAAAGAACCCTGCAATAATTCGTAAAGGCTGTGTTTGGTTTGAACTTTGAAGGAAAAAGTAGGGAGAGGTAGGGAAACCTTTACAAACGCTTAGGTTTCTCTACCTTTCCGTACCTCTTCCTTCAAACCTAACATAGCCTAAGAGTTATGATTTTAGTTGTGAACCTCAAACTCAATTTCCAAGCTCGTGACTTGTGAGTCTTAGGTTGTGCCTAAGAACAAAATCAGTGCTGTATGCAATTTCGTATTGTAATCGGATATTTTCATATCGTTGGTCAAAATATTCATATTGAATGCTTGCTACAAAAAATTGTCTTCTACCTTGAAAAAAGGGGAGAGGTTTTCCAAACTGGCCCATTCAAACATTTCGTCAAACAGGTAGGGTTAGACATTTTCTTTCAACCCAGTTGGGTTAACTATCAACAAGGAACAGAGGGGTAAAACAGGGTTTTTAAAATTTTAAATAGTTTATGTGGTATTAGAAATTAATGGGTCTTAATATTTTATTAATAGAGAGAATGTTTAAGTCCACAGTGGTCAGCCTACAATTTATGAAAATTCAAAGTATGTTTAACACTTTTACCCTATTGCTAACACTTGATACTCCCTTTTAAGTTTTGGTTCCAATAATTTAGGAATTAAGGGCCTGTTTGGCATGCCTTTCTGCACGGTCTTTTGGACTGTTTACAAAACTAAGCAGATGGATTTTTGGTCTATTCCCATTCGGTTCATGGAAAATCTAACTGCCAAAAGCCAAAACACCGAAAAGACACGAAAAACCCATTTTAGGCTGGTTTCGAAAAACTCCAAATGAAGCTTTTTGCATATTTTGCATTTTATTCTCACACGAAAAGACATATATCTGCCAAACTAGCTTCAGTTCAGGCTGCTCAGATCTTCATGCAAAAACTCAATACGTCTCTTGACTATCAGAGCTACCAGAAAATTTTCCCAAAAAGACTTGCCAAACGGGCCCCTAAATATATAAGAAAAGTTCCTAACACTAGAACACATAAAAATCCCCTAAATCTTTGTATTCAGCCTTGTTCTTTTTTCAAAAAGTTATTTACCTAGGTAAGTACTAGGTAAATATTTCCTAAATAACACTTACCAATGTTCTTTTGATTCCCAGGTAAGGACCTTTTTACTCATAAAAAATCAATATTAAAATGAATAACTTGCCCCGCTATGTTTTATAAACTTTTCTCTTGGATAAAAAAGTTGTCCACTTGGAAGATAGATAATTTTTACCTGAATAAATGAAACTAACTTTATCATTGGGCCTAATACTTATTGAAAAAAAAAAAAAACTGTAACATTGATCAATGGATATCACTTTTCCATTTATTTACTGGTAAACGAACAGGGCCTTAGTGTTTTGATAACCCTGAAAACACATATCCAACGATTTCTTTGAACCATGATACTAAGGAGATATTAGCATCAGCATGAAGACTGCGAGGAAGTAATCATTAAATTAAAAAGACAAGTAGACCAACTACGACAAAATATGGTTTCTTGGCAACATTGTATGAGGAATGTTACACTCATCAACAATTCTGCAGCAAAGGTAACAGAGCAAATCAGTAGTCAAAGCATCATCGCCTATTTCCCATCAATTATTTGATTGAAATTTGAAACTATGTAAGCTCACATTATTACTGAGCGTGATTAAACTTGCACTTCTGGAACAAGTGAGAAATGTCATGTAGATAGCTCAAACCAAAAATGAAGCCAATTCAATGTTCTTTAGGATAAACCAATTTTTGTTCCAATAATACCATCTAAATACGAGGGGCATGCTCAATCACATTCCATCACCCGTTCATTATACAAAGTCTATCTGCTAGGAGCGCATTATATCTCCTTGGAGGAACATTTCATTCTCCTTCACTAAGAATTGGAACAATTAGCGGTTTCAATTGAGCAAGATATACAATTGCCCACCTAATAAAAGAAGAGACATCAAATCATTATCAGCTCAGAATAATTTCATGTTCATATGTATCAACATGAATATACACACCATAAGTCACTGTCAGTATCTCGAAAATTATCTTGAAAGTGTAAAAGAACTAATATTTGATAGAAATTCTCAATAACTACAATATTTATAAATTTCAAAGTTATCAAAGTGTAAAAGGTATTTACTTTTTCAGAGTAAAGAATGTTCCTTATAAATGAATAAAGTAATCAAGTTTCCATAAACTGAGTACATGCTTAATTAGCCTTCTGTACTGATCATATACCACTACACCTCAAGGGACGCTTAGCTTCACCTCCTTGGTGGCGTCAAAAAAGGAATAAAAAAAAAAAAGCCTCACCTCCTAGGCAACATTTTCTCTTCTAAGAAGCAAACTTCAACATGGTTTTAACATCACAAACACATTTGACTTTAAGCATTTTCAACCTCTCACGAAGAAACCCTTCAAATTTAAGCCAACTCAGTTCAATTAGACCAAGCTTTGCCTATAGTTGTCAAGATCTTACCTAGGTGCCTACCTAGGCAACAAAAATGACAAGGTAGGCACCTTATTATATTATATCATTTATACTTTCTACTATTGAAATTTAAAGATTCAAGGGTCTTGAGAAGAGTAAATGAAAGAATAAATAGAAAAATAAAGCATTATGTAAAAAAGTGGATATACCCTTGTTCCTTTTTCTATTTTACTTACTCTCTATGTTAAATTTTTTCATATAAAATTATAGCCTATTTTAGTTGCTAATTTGATATGAAATTGCTCTACTGAATACTTATTATATTAGTATTATTTTCAAAAGTATTAAAACTAATATATTTGAAATACTATTGTCCAAGATATGATGATTTTCCATGTTTGAGATTAAATTTAATGTTAATAAATAAATTGCTATATATATATATATATATATATATATATATATATATATATATTTTTAATTCATACGCATGCTAAATGGTATATAAGCCCATGGAACTAGGTAAAATTCTGCTTTTTTTCTTTATTTTATGAAATTATTATCACATACATGACTAGGCAAGCTACTATTACCCAGAATCACCTAGATGTCTTGATAGCAATGATCTTGCCCCAACTACATGGGGTCCAGCTACACAAATCCTGATTAGGAGCAAAATGCAATTCCAGGATAATATGGGACCCAGTGATTGAAGATAATAAAAGGTTGGCTACACAGAAAGCAAGATACTTATCAAAAGGTAGAAAACTCACCTAATTAAAAGTGTATTACCCTCCCTCCCAATTTACTATATGTCTCCATTTCACATATCTGTGAGAGTGGCAACAATTAGGAAAAAGGATGAGGAACTTTCTGTGATCTGGATGGAAAGACAGGTCCAAATTTCACTTAGGCTATGTTTGGTTTGAAGAAAAAGTAGGAAAAGGAAGGGAAACATAGGGAACCTATACAAGGCTTGTAAAGGTTTCCCTACATTTCCCTTCCTTTCCCTATTTTTTCCTTCAAACCAAACACAGCCTTGGTGAATTGGAACAAAAGTTTGCTTCCGAAGAAAATCTGGTGGTTTGGGTGTGAGAAGATTGAAAAAAGTAGGTGAAGCCCTTTGAGGGAAATGGTTCTGGAAATCTAGCAAGGAAACTGACAGCTTATGAGGCAAGTAATCACAAGCAAATATGGGCCGAGTAAGAGAGGCTGGGATCCAGAGTCATCCCTTAGTCCTATGGGATATGCATTATGGAAAAAAAAAATGACATCCAAAAAGCCTTTGATGATTTCTCCAAAGACATCAAATACAAAATTGAAAAGGGGAATGGTGTTCGGTTCTGAACTGAAAAATGGTGTGGGGAATCATCATTTGAGGCTCTATTCCCAACTTTGTATGAAATAGCCCAAGATGAAGGTTCCCTGGTTTAGGAAAGCAATGAATTGAATGAAAATGGAGCCACTTGGAGACCCTGTTCAGAAGAAACCCAAATGATTGGGAAATTCGACCAATGACAGATCTGCTAGTGCTAGGTCCATTACATAAAGAAATGTCAAATATTCTGGACTGCTCTATGATACAGATCTTCTAATGATCCTGAAACTAATTTTCAAATCAAGGTGGTGAATTCAAGTCTAGGAAATATTCTGCAATATCTTGTGGGTGAGAATTCTGGGAAATGGGAAGCTGTTATTACTTAAGTAAAGTTTGCATTCAAAGAACCACAATACAGGTAGGAATCCTCTCTGATAGTAGGTAGCTGACTTATTTTCCTGATTTGGTAGCAGAAACCCCCTAAACTAGAAAAGTGGATGTCATGGAAAAAAAATGGTAAAACATATTGCTTAATTTCATGAAGACATTCACAGGAATATTGAGCACTCCAATGCAAAGTAGACAAGTTATGCAGACATAGGAAACTTCAAAAGCAAAGGTCACAGTGATGCTGACGTAGAATCGTCTGTTCCAATACCAATTGATATAGAACTGCCTATACTGATCCCAAACCGATGTACAATTGATAGATTCAATGCATTTGATGAATTCAAATGATGCAACATTGATGAAACTAACAAATAATTAAATGCAAAATTAGGATTATAGGCAATCAAACAAGAGGTATTTTACAACTAAAAGAGAATACATACAATGTAGATGATGATAATGATGATCACCAAGAGATAACTCAATGTGACCCTTTTTGTTACCTTGTTTCAACAATCCATAACAACGGATACGAGGAGGATGCCACCCATAGAATTAGAGCATGATTACAAAAATGTAAGGGGGCATCCAGAATCTTATGTGAGAGGCAAATACCACTAAGCTAAAATGAAAATTTTATAAAACAGTTGCAAAGCCAAAGTGTCAAAAAAGAATCTCTCCCTTGTTAAATTATCAAACCAAGGTGTCAAAAAAAGGTCACATTGAGTTATCTCTTGGTCTCCAATCCTAAGTGTACCCTGATTTCCTGCCCATGGGCTGGCATGACCGATGGTGCTACAGTGTCATGCCTTGCCAGGCATGGTCCATGGCCCCGGGCTGAGCTAGGCTAAGGTTTGCAACCCATGGGCTTGCACAGCCCCGCAGCCTGGCACAACACAGCCTAGTCATGCCGGCAGCCTAGCCCACCAAAAACTAGCAGTTGGAAACCCCTTCCAATGGATATAACAACTTTTTAGGGGGCAAAGGTGATTGAAAACCAAGGTTTTAAACTTGAGATGTTGAGTGGGAAAACCAAGGTTTTAAACTTCATAATGTATTGGTCCATATTGGCCAATGCATACCATTCCAATGAGGGTTTGATACCGTGAAATGCTACGAAACCTTTGATTTTGTTTCTTTTCGTCTGCATCAGGCCGATACAGACCCATTCAGCCAATACATGTGTATCAGATTTTTAATATTATTTAATGTCATTCCTTCTCTCTCCAACAACTCCTATTATTACTCCCTAAACCTCTATAATCATTCCTTCTCTCTCTCTAATAACTCCAATACTTACTCCCACTCTTTCAATAACTCCTATATTTAGTGCTACATTTAATATATTTAATTAATATTCAAATTCAAATTTAAAGAATGCCATTAAATAACCTTAAAACCTTAAACTAGCCATAAAAACTACAAATAGGAGGATTTGAACCATGGTTAATGGCATGTAACAAGCACAAATCCACCATTAAACCATGCTATAGTTGCTTGTCATAAGTATATGCATTTTTCTTCTTAACGTATTTTTTTGGCAATAAATACTAAAATTGATTATTAAAATTTATATACTAATAAACATTAACACAAATTATACTGATTTATGAAAATTAAGATATACAAATATAAATTTGAGTTCTTCCATTATTCTTCAATGGTTATCAATTGTGTCCCAATATCTCACAATTTATATAAACCCTTGAAGTATGGTCTTTTATGTTTAAATAACTCATTTATAATTATATAAAACTTATATTTATTGTTATTAATATACATTTTTAAGATTTTTAAGATTTATTTGATGTCTTAACTCTTAAATCAGATGTTTTATGAAAACATGGATTTAAGACAAGTAACTATTCTAGGTTAAGCTAGAAGAAGTTAGGGCTATTCATTCTCAAGAAGATAAATGCTTATGAGATTGATCTACCTAAGGACTTAAGTATGCACTCTACATTCAACAATGCCGACTTGTATACTTATCATGGAAATGATGATGAGGAAGAGATAGAGAATGTTTTGAAAAAAAGAGCTACGAAGACCAATAGGCACTCAACCAAAGGATACTTGTTATGCTGGAAAGGTAATGACGCAAGAGATAGCACTTTGGTTTTTAATGAAGAATTGCTTGTGATAGAGGTCAATAATTGGAAACTAAATTTGTCTCAATCCAATTGTTGGATTGATCTAGAGTTTGGATGTATTAGAGGTCTAAGATGGTAAAAGAGAACTTCACATCATCAAGCAGATAAGACAAGTGAATGGCCTTCAGCAAGATACCTTTCAGTTGCTGGGCATTGAGGACTATCAATAGTAGTCAATAATCAAGGTCAAAGTTTAACCATATGGACTCCATCTGCTAGTCATCCATGAGTCTAGTAATCTCTGTTGAAGTTTCATTAATTTTAGTCCGTTAGAGGTGAATTTCAGTTATGAAGGAAAAAAGGTCAATTTTGTCTTTTTAATTTGTTATTTCAATTTAGGTACTTGATAGGCACTAAACAAAGGGGCTTATCTTGTGTGGCATATACAAAGAGTATTTTAGTCAGATCAGGATGTTACTAATTGAGGTTACAGTGTTTATTTATTTATTTTAAGTTATGATCCCTGTAACATAAGTTCTATATATAAAGGAGTAGATGCTCATTGGGGGAACTCTAATAGATTTAATTCCACATTTTTAGCCCTGTTTCTCCCACTTCTTTTCTCTCTTTTCTGCAATTCTTACTTCTATTTTGCTGTATTACAGGCCAAACAAATGTGCAGAGAATACAAAAACTTACATCATCCAACAGCAAATTGTTGCTGTAATAACTAATGTCAGATGAAACCTGCATCAAGAAAAATATATATACATTAACCATTTCAGATACGTGAGAGAGAAAAAAAGAAGAGTGGTTGAAAAGAAAGGAAAGAACATGAAAATACATGACGATAACTACAATTAAGTGTTAAAGCAACAGCTAAATTCTGTAACAACTACAAAGAAAATATCAACCCTAATTGCAGAATCCCCAAACTTATAAATCTCATAACTGGTAAAGTTTCCATCAAATATCACATCACAATGTTTTGTTCTGAAACTTGCAAGACATCTTCTGAAAACATACAGATTTTTGACAATGGAGATAAAATGTCATTGGTATTAATAGACACCCTCATACCACAAAAGGTTAAATATAATTAGGATTAAATAATTGAAATTACGACAACTATGAATTAATTGACTAAATAAACTCAGGCAAGCCAATTGGGAAAATAACAGATATCAGAGAAAATAAAAGCGTGCAAGCTAATTTAAAAAATCTCAGCATAACAATCAAAAGAATAATATTTTAGATTTCAAGCATCTTGCTATTTTAAGTCTTAAGAATTACTCCAAGTCTAATAACCTCCTGATGTAAGACAGATATAGGATAACTAAATCTCTAGAAACATTACAATGACTAATGAAAAGATAGAGAATCAAGAGAAGCCTATAGAAAAATCATACTGCTTTTCCAGAATCAAATATAGGATCCTTCCAAACTTTAATGCATGGCTTTCAATGGGATCACACCAAAGAAGAAATCTCTTAAGCATCACACCCAAAGAAATGAAACTAAAAGGTATAATTTCATTCTCAATCTCATCATTTTTCCACACTATAATATTATTTGAATTCCATAATATTGAGGTCCATAACAATATTAACAATATTATGACCTCAAGTAGGTTCATTTCCCTAATCTAAAGACTCCTAATAACTCCCCAACATATACCTATGGTAGTAATGACTTCAAAACTGACTAAAACTCCTACATACTTTCTAAAAATTGACTTTATGAAACAATATAAGTTTGACTAAAATTTCTATTAAGGGAACAAATTGTAAAAGAGTTGAGATATTAAAGTCCAAAACAGAAGAAAATAACATAAAATAGAAGAAGCTGAAAAAATTCTAATCACATGCTCCTTATTATTTGTATTTGTATGAAATTGAAAAAACAAATACAATTATGCCCATAATTATCAACCCAATTATTAGATTAATTACAAAGACATAACTACTCCCGCATATGTCATTACACTTCTTTAACACTCCCTCAAACTGAGCCTACATGCCCTGCTTACCAAGTCAACTGAAAATGACTTAAAAATCATCAAAGATTTTATCCAAAAACTGCTCTAATTTTAGAATATTCAATTACTGTCTCCCAAGTTTGTTTTTGTTTTTTGAATATCTTTTTGCATTCCTTTCTTCCTACACAATCTGCCACACCAGTTTTTTGTCTCATTGTTGCTGGAGAGAACAAATCTGCCACACCAGCCAGTTGAACCCACTTGCACCCAAATAAAGAAAGAAACCATTCCCAAATACCAACAGTAACTGGACAGAAGATTAATAAATGATAGTTAGGTTCACCACAAGCATTGCAGAGAACACACCAGTTAGAAGGAAGACACCAAAAAAGTCTTCTCTAATAGAACGTCCATTGTACTAATACTTCCATGAACCACTTCCCAGCAGAAGGCGTGAACCCTGGGTGGAATAGGCTCACACCACACCTCTTTAACAAGAAAAGGCTGAGCAGGGAGAGGATAGAGAGACAAAACCTTGAAAAAAGTAAGGACAGGAAGAGGACCCACAACGACTAGGCAACCAAACCCGACTAATTTCGAAGGGTCCCAAAGAAACCTTTCTATAGCAGCCAACAAACCCACACCTCCTCAGAACATCAATTAAAAATTATCAATCCACTAGATCTTATGCTTTTTCCAAATTCAGTTTACACACCAATCCCTTGTTACCAGATCTTCTCATTTCTTCCACCTTCATTAGCTATAAGAATCTGGTCATAAATCTGATTATTCTAAAGAAAGACTCCCTAAAAGTGAGTAGTAATGGATAGAAGTACCTCCTTAAGCCTTAGAAAAAAGAACCTTCAATATAATTTTGTAAATACTAATCAACAAGCTTATAGGTCTTAAGTCCTTAGGTAAGTACCTCTCCTTCTTAGGGAACAAAGCTGTGAAACATGCATTAACCCTATGATTTATAATTCCTCTCTCATGGAACTCATTAAAAGTTCAAATTCAGCCATCCTTTATGATTTCCCAACATACCTAGAAGAAAGCTATCGTAATCTATCAGGTCCTGAAGACTTTGTTCTATCCATTACAAAAATGGCATCTCTAATCTCTTCTTCCTCAAATCTTCTCTCCAACCTT